GACATATTCTTAAACAAGTTTGAATTATGATATCGACTCAGAGCTTAAGAGAGTAATCGACAACACACTATAACCAAAAAAAAAAAGTTCTTATAAAAGAAAGCAAATTGAGTAAAAAGCAGAAAAAATAAAAAAATTAAACAATAGGAGAGCAAAATTAGAAGTACAACAAAATCAATTCGAACTCCATTGGAGTCGCACATAAAAATATTAAATATTTGAACAAGAGGGTTCTTGTATTTAGATTAAATTCAGATAAAAATCTTTAAGTGGTTGCACCCAAAGGAGGGCAAAATCGAAAATAGAGTGTAAGTAAGAGGGCAGTTGTTGTTAACTCAGGTGAAACGTAACCATCAACGCAACTTGGAGGGAAAGCTACCGAAAGCTAATGAAAACTAAACAAAGTGGCAGACAGACATGAGAGATAGCGGATAAGAGCGTCACTACAACACTGTCTACTACTGTTTATTTATATAGATAATTACACTTGTATGCCCAAAAGTTTCAAATTATTTAATGGACTACTGTACCTACTCTTACACTTTGCTATAGTAAGCTTGATAATCGAGCTGAGATATATAGGTTTGACTTGTTTGTTTTTAAATGAGTCAAGTTTTAAAATTTTTTAAATTCAGTTAGAGAAACATGTTCGACAGACTCATAAAATTCGGTTCATTTGTCAGTCATATTTGCTAGCTCTTGTTATACCTCCATCATTTCTTTATTTCTNAGAGAGGTAAACGATTTGGCTATTGTTATGCTTGTTTCGCAAGCTTTATGTTTTATTATATGAATTGTTAATTGACACAACTATTTTCAACAAACATAAAGGACAAATTAAAAACTTGGTGCAAACCTAGGGTTATATTTTTTTTTTTTCTGTTATAAAGTGTTTAGGTTTACGTTGACTACTTCTTTAAGTTTAGATATTGACTATCATAATCTAAGCAGGTTTAGAATATATCCCCTGAGAAATATGGATAACTGGTCCTTAAGATATATGAAAAATATTAAATCTGAGACATTTGAATTACGAGGGACCAAATTTAACCATTGAGTCATCAATTTTTGTAAAATTTCATTGCATTCATTACTGAGCACCGTTTCCCATGATAGTTTTTCTTATGACTTGCTAATCCAATTTAAAACTGATACAAAATAAAAAAATATACTTTCGTTTTAGTGGGTTTGGATTTAAAAACATGATAGTTTGNAATCCTTGGCAAAAGGCTTGCTTGTGTCCCATAAGTTGAGATGAAAGTCCACCAATCCATGAGACATGGGTAAGTGCAATCCACCATGTACAGACTTGTATCATGTCCATTAGCATGATTGAGAAAGAAAGTGATTTCACATCTGTTACGTTTTGGTCTAATAAACTAGTTTGTCGGGTTTGTCAAAAGTTAAAACAANCGTATTAGACGGTAGATATATACGATAATACCCGTATAAAACAAGGCGATAATAGATGCGAGGTGAATCGAATTTATCCCTGCCCCCACTTTAAAAAAAAATAGTGTTTNACGTTTTGGTCTAATAAACTAGTTTGTCGGGTTTGTCAAAAGTTAAAACAACAAAATTTTATTATTTAATTTAAAAAACAACCCTATTATGGTTTGTTTAAAGACCATTGGCTCGACGATCCAATCCACTTATGTTATGGCCCATTAAGTGGTGGGTTAAAAAACATCCTGTCCGATGCCAACNTCGTTTTGGTCTAATAAACTAGTTTGTCGGGTTTGTCAAAAGTTAAAACAACAAAATTTTATTATTTAATTTAAAAAACAAGAACCCTATTATGGTTTGTTTAAAGACCATTGGCTCGACGATCCAATCCACTTATGTTNTTAGAATAACTTATTTTAATTATATCCAAATAAATCAGAAATAATTTTACCATTTAAATAAATAAGTAAAAGTAGAGAAAAAAAATAATTTCTATTTCTTTAAAATTACTTTTTACAAAACAATTCACTATCGCCGCTGCCGCCGCCCCACAACCACCAACATCGCCCCACCATCGTTGTCGCCACCCCACCACCATCATAACTACCACCAGCACCGATAGAACCGCCACCCCATCACCACCACCATCGCCAACGCCCCACCAATCCCACCTCCACNCCCTTATTTCTCAGAGGACATATTCTTAAACAAGTTTGAATTATGATATCGACTCAGAGCTTAAGAGAGTAATCGACAACACACTATAACCAAAAAAAAAAAGTTCTTATAAAAGAAAGCAAATTGAGTAAAAAGCAGAAAAAATAAAAAAATTAAACAATAGGAGAGCAAAATTAGAAGTACAACAAAATCAATTCGAACTCCATTGGAGTCGCACATNACTGCCACCCCCACCATCACCTCTGCCACCACCACCACCGCCATCCACCATCGTCGTCATTCACCACCAATTGTCATCATTGTCACCAACCCATCTCCACGATCGTTGTCCACCACCTCCCATTACTACAACCACCCTTCATTGCCTGCATCCACCTCCACCATACTTACCACCACTATTGTCATTCGTAACCACCCACCACCATTGTCCTGTCGCCCACAAGTATCTATCGTTGCCCATCACCGCTCACACTCACCACCNTTGTCATCATTGTCACCAACCACCACCACCTATCTCCACCATCGTTGTCCACCACTTCCCATTACTACAACCACCCGTCATTGCCCGCACCCACCTCCACCATACTTACCACCACTATTGCCATTCGTAACCACCCACCACTATTGTCCTGTCGCCCACAAGTATCTATCGTTGCCCATCACCGCTCACACTCACCACCACTATTATCACCGCCACACCACCATAATCTATCACCACCACCACCACTATCGTTGCCCCATCACCATTATTGCCAACCACCATCGTCCTCATCCACCATCTCTCACATCCATTACCATCACTGACATCATTGATGCTGTCATTATTACTATCGTCACCCAAAATTCATCTCCACCATCACTGTTGCTGCCAATGACTATCATCATCACCATGATCATCATTATTCACCATAATCATCACTGTAGTGCCTCCACCATTATCACCCATTCACCTTCATTATAATCGGTGTTTAAATTTTTTTTCTGTCTCGTCTATATTTGTGATTTAATTTTGAGTATAAATCTAATTATATTTATGATTGATAATTCATTATTATTATTTCGTATTTTTATACACAAACAATAGCTAATAAATATATTAAATATAAATTCAATATATTTTGCCACAAATATAATTTAGACAAAATCTATTCAAAAATGGCATATAATTTTGGCATTTTCCCAATAAAGGCCTCTCTAGTACTTTATATATATTTTTTTAATCATATCAACTATTTTTGAGTTCTGGGTCCTGAGTGCTGACCCCACTCGCTGGACTTTGTTACACAGTGAACCTGGTTCTCCTCCCGGTAGCCAAAAAAAGAAAAAATTATATCAAATCAAATGACTATTTTACCCTTCAGTACAATGTGGAAAATTTACACGCAATAACAAAAAATACATCAAGCAGAAAGATAATAAGTTGATCTAAAAGAAAACTCTCAGGACTTAGAAGTGATTTAGTGATCCAGACTCTTCATTTGTGGATAAGAGGTTTCAGATTCGATATTTTTTACACTCATTAAGGGTCAGTCACCCTTATTTCTCAGAGGACATATTCTTAAACAAGTTTGAATTATGATATCGACTCAGAGCTTAAGAGAGTAATCGACAACACACTATAACCAAAAAAAAAAAGTTCTTATAAAAGAAAGCAAATTGAGTAAAAAGCAGAAAAAATAAAAAAATTAAACAATAGGAGAGCAAAATTAGAAGTACAACAAAATCAATTCGAACTCCATTGGAGTCGCACATAAAAATATTAAATATTTGAACAAGAGGGTTCTTGTATTTAGATTAAATTCAGATAAAAAACTGTAAGTGGTTGCACCCAAAGGAGGGCAAAATCGAAAATAGAGTGTAAGTAAGAGGGCAGTTGTTGTTAACTCAGGTGAAACGTAACCATCAACGCAACTTGGAGGGAAAGCTACCGAAAGCTAATGAAAACTAAACAAAGTGGCAGACAGACATGAGAGATAGCGGATAAGAGCGTCACTACAACACTGTCTACTACTGTTTATTTATATAGATAATTACACTTGTATGCCCAAAAGTTTCAAATTATTTAATGGACTACTGTACCTACTCTTACACTTTGCTATAGTAAGCTTGATAATCGAGCTGAGATATATAGGTTTGACTTGTTTGTTTTTAAATGAGTCAAGTTTTAAAATTTTTTAAATTCAGTTAGAGAAACATGTTCGACAGACTCATAAAATTCGGTTCATTTGTCAGTCATATTTGCTAGCTCTTGTTATACCTCCATCATTTCTTTATTTCTTTTTTTTTTTTTTTGGGTGAGGGGTGCGAGGGGGAGGGGTTTAAGCTCAATCCAATGTAATCCTTGGCAAAAGGCTTGCTTGTGTCCCATAAGTTGAGATGAAAGTCCACCAATCCATGAGACATGGGTAAGTGCAATCCACCATGTACAGACTTGTATCATGTCCATTAGCATGATTGAGAAAGAAAGTGATTTCACATCTGTTACGTTTTGGTCTAATAAACTAGTTTGTCGGGTTTGTCAAAAGTTAAAACAACAAAATTTTATTATTTAATTTAAAAAACAACCCTATTATGGTTTGTTTAAAGACCATTGGCTCGACGATCCAATCCACTTATGTTATGGCCCATTAAGTGGTGGGTTAAAAAACATCCTGTCCGATGCCAACCCTAAAGCCAAAGGTTAAAGAGTAAAAGGGATGCATCAAGATTTTATAAAACAATAAGGCTATATTTTGTAATTGTCAGATACTCGAGGGGCTTAACTGTAATTATCCCTCATTCACTGGAATAAGATATCATTTTTATTTCTTTTAGGTACAAAATAGTAAATAACTTTTCCTAATTTTGTAGCAGCTTCTGAAGCCTCCGTGAGACACCAGCTGCAGTCCACGTGGCAATCGATAGTGACACCTCGTTCGTCTCCACCTTGAAGAAGAGAATAGAATAGAACAGACGTCGGAGAGAAGAGAACCAACAGAGGTCGTAGTTTCTAGAGAGAGAAAGTGGAGTGTGTGGGTGTTTTTAGAGAGAATTACTTGAGGTGGGTTTAATTGAGAGAGAGACAGAGAAGGGGTTGATCGATGTTGATTGTTTGTTTCTAGGGAAATTTTTTTGTGCTGGAGGAAGATGTATGTTGGAGGATCAGTGCGAAAGTCTTTCAAGGATTCTCTCAAAGTTCTTGAAGCCGATATTCAGTACGCAAATACTCTGTGAGTCAACTATTTTTGTGTTCATTTATTTATTTTTTGTTATTTTTCTCACCTATTTGATAGAAAATTCGACTGAGAAATTTAAAGAAATGCGCTTTTGTGCATTTTTTAAAAAAAAAAAANACCACTATTATCACCGCCACACCACCATAATCTATCACCGCCACCACCACTATCGTTGCCCCATCACCATTATTGCCAACCACCATCGTCCTCATCCACCATCTCTCACATCCATTACCATCACTGACATCATTGATGCTGTCATTATTACTATCGTCACCCAAAATTCATCTCCACCATCACTGTTGCTGCCAATGACTATCATCNATCTGTTTCTGCTTCCAATTTGGTAAGTTTTGGGGCTGTTTCTACAAATGTTTGTGTTTTTCATCTCTCTCTCTCTCTCTCTCTCTCTCTCTCTCAGACACACACACACACACACACAGAGACAGAGTCACACTGTTGTTTTGTTACTTACTGATTTGCATTTGATTTTGTAGTNTCATCACCATGATCATCATTATTCACCATAATCATCACTGTAGTGCCTCCACCATTATCACCCATTCACCTTCATTATAATCGGTGTTTAAATTTTTTTTCTGTCTCGTCTATATTTGTGATTTAATTTTGAGTATAAATCTAATTATATTTATGATTGATAATTCATTATTATTATTTCGTATTTTTATACACAAACAATANCATTTGATTTTGTAGTTTTTAAAAATATACAAATGGGTATATTATTATTCTGCATTTGATATGGAAAGCTGTTGGATGATGTGAGTTTTATTTCTACTTTCCTTAATTGCTTCAAGTTGTGATAAAGGTACCATTTTTATGTAAATATGATGCTCAACTTGCTCAGGTTTAGTTGTAATTTTTATTTTTTTTATTTGCTTNCTGTTGGATGATGTGAGTTTTATTTCTACTTTCCTTAATTGCTTCAAGTTGTGATAAAGGTACCATTTTTATGTTAATATGATGCTCAACTTGCTCAGGTTTAGTTGTAATTTTTATTTTTTTTATTTGCTTGTTACTTAAGTTCACACGTGGGTGTTTTTTGATTGGGTTGGAGATGACTCTGGTGATGATAAAATAATTAAGCTATCTCACCCTTTCTTGTAAATTGGTGAATGTTGGTTCTGGGACTTATATCAATTAAGGTGATTGATTGTTGTGCTCAAATTTTTTTTATGGCGGTCTGCGCGAGACCAGGTTCACATGGTGAGATTTTTCTCACTCAATCCGTTCTATACGATGCATTCTTTAATCCTAAGTAAAAAAGGGACCACATTTTATGGTGTTCACTTTTCAGTGTAGGATTGATGCATATGTTGTTTTAAGGTCAATATACTATGCTGGTACAGAGAATGAAACAGATTTTTGATGTGTCTGCTGTATTGGATAGGTTGGTTTAAGCTTACTAATCAAGGTAGGTTAGTCTAGTGGGTGGTATAGCATATGTGATCACTGCGATGGGCTAAGACTTTGATGGCTTGAAGCATGAATTTTTCCTACCCCTCGAATCCATTTGGTGTATGGCTGATAAGTAATGGTGGGGACTTTAAGAAGGATGGTCGAACTCACACCCTTGGTGGGCCCAATGCCTATACTGTATTTCAGTGCTTCTAAATTTTTATTTCTTTCTGTATCATGTATAATTTTGGATCCTCTTTTCTAACTAAAATTTTGTTTTGTGACGGTCGAATGTTTTGGTGGTTAAATTGTAAGTGTTAATGCTTCAAGTAACATTTGGATGCTCAGTTTCGTATGTCGTCATTTTAAATAAATACAATTGTTTATGCATTGAGAAATGTCATTGGAAAGTTTTCCAAGTTTTGATGGCCAGAAATCAACTGTTAGCAAATGAAATCCAGATAGGAAAGGTCTCTTTAATCCACTGTATGGATTTCACTTCTCAATGATTTTTGTTAGATATGATTTTTATGGTTGCATTTATTGTATTTATGGTGATGTATTTTATCAGATTGCTTACCATGCTTGGTTATTACCGTCTTGCTTTATTTTAAATCTTATCTTGCAATGTGGGGTTCAGGGCATCGGATTTTCAAAGAGAGTATGATGGTGCCTGCCTACAGATGAGAATTTCCTACAGTCCAGCTGCACACTTGTTCCTTTTCCTAGTACAATGGACAGACTGCAACCTAGCTGGTGCTCTTGGGCTTTTGAGAATCCTAATCTACAAGGTTGGAGCTTGTTTACATCTCTGTTTATCGATGAAGTATTTTTTTAATCATGCATGTGGTTGACTGCTTTGCTTATTGCAACAGGTTTATGTGGACGGCACCACAACCATGTCTACCCATGAGAGAAAAGCAAGCATTAGAGAATTCTATGGTAAGTTTCTGCACTATGATTGGACTACCTGCCACAGGAATGAACTTGTAAAGCCTCTTGTCTATTATTCTGCAAATGTATTGCACGATTAATGCACTTGTACAGCCTCTGGTTTATGTTTTGTCTGCTGATGGCTGAACCTTTTCTGCTGTCAGCTGTAATTTATCCCTCTTTACTGCAACTTCAAAGAGGCGTGACTGATATGGAGGATAAAAAGCAAAAGGCAGTATGCATGGAAAGGTATAGGAGAAGAGATGATGAGGAACACCGGCAATGTTCGGATATAGATATTGAAAGGGAAGAAGAATGCGGAATCTGCATGGAGATGAACAGTAAGATTGTGTTGCCCAATTGCAACCATGCCATGTGCTTGAAATGCTACCATGAATGGTATCCTCTCTATATCTCTCCCATTTTACCCTTCTTGAGTCGTTAAAGTTCTCAAATATTATGGACTAGTTTTCTTAGATCACCATTATAGTAGTACTCGTGATTCTTCTTTCATTGGGATTTTGTTGACTGTGATGTCTGCATATAAGTATAGAACAGTCAGTTCTGTGCCGTTTAGCTGTTGAGTTTGCAACTAACACTTAATTGTTTTAACATTTTTCCTCTGCTCTGGTAACACATGCATACAAGTAACGACAGATGTGCAAAGGAGCACATTAGAGGGGAAAGTTTTCAGTTTTTTTATGGCAATCACATGTGAACTTCTAGGTGTTCCCAGGGATTCAGGTATAATAGTAGATTTTCAACTAGGGTCCCTGCTCACCTTGGGATTCATTTAAAATATCACTACAGCATGTATGCTTCACTACATGTTTGCTTGATCTGCAAAAGGGAAACATGAGATTTGGTGTGCAAGTCAGAGTGAACTCAGTACACTTGATTTTCATTCTTTTATTCAAGTGTGCCTTTGTTCCCCATAGGAAAACAATGATATTATTGCTTTTCAGAAAGAAAATTTCCTGAAATTTCTCGTGAGGTTTTGCTTCTTTTGTTGTCAGCTTGTGGTGCTTTTCCAACCTCTTCCATATTCAGATGGTTGATGCTTGGAGATGATATGGGCTTAATTGTTTGCAAAACATTCAACATGATTCCTTTTTCTCCAAGCAGTTGTTGAAGTCTAACATTGCATTTGTGGAACACTGGAACAACTATATGAGGAAGGCATCTTTGTGGCATATAGGTTTGTTAATTAATTATCACTTCCATGATCTGAGAGAATGTGTTCGTATAATTGATTAGGAGCTTGCCTGGTGCAGAACAGAAGCTCAAACTTGGCAATTAATGCTGCCTTGTGATCGGATAATGGTGGGGCTAGAATTTTAATCTGTAAGGAGTGCAATTGGTAGGTTAAGGGTTTAAGGACAGATTTGAGATTATCTTGGTTGAAGATAAGGCTGATTTTGGTGAATATCTGGATGAAGTAGGTTGCTGGATTTTTTGGACAGAATAATAAAGTAAAGTTTCTAGGGTTCTAATGTGAATTAAATTAAGGTTAAGGTTTAGATCAAAAGTTCAATTGTCGGTAATTCCGTTGAATATTCAACAGCTGGAGATTAAAAAAAAAAGGAGGAAAAAAAAAAGGTAGAGAAATTTAAGAGGCTCAATAAGGCCCTTTTAGAGTCTAGCCTAGAAAAATTTTAGTGGAGTCACTTCATTGAATTGTCTCTCGACACCCTTGCTTATATAGAAAAGCCAACACCATTTAGAAAACTATCGAGCTTAGAAACTCCAAGTGACTAAAGGCTTCCTAGACTTACAATGTTGCTATTAATTCTGGAACAAATAAAGGACTTAACAAGACCCATAATCAGATTAATTATTGACACTGATAATCAAAAAGGCCCTGGTTGTGAAAAATCCAAATCTTCTGATTCAAAAAGAGGGGAAGTGTATGGTTTTAACCCATCTCAATGTAGCTCTAGGTCAAGTTATCCATTGATGAGGGTTGTGAACAGGTAGTGTTGTGGACAATTGGCGAGAAAGAAAAAAATCAAATGAACAACACAGATTTGCCTCAATTCGACTTATATACTAACACCAGTTGAGAACCCTAACCTTAATCTTGGTACATTAAATTACCTACTTTTTTGCCAAGTGAGTATGGCCCATTCACTATCTCTTATATGGGGGGCCATGATCTTTTGGTAGGACTCAACAAACGTAAGACTGGATTTCAAGATTAAGACTAGAAATTTTACTTACAATTATCCAGCAATGTAACTAGATTTAATGGACACAAGAATTCATTTCTCCGGGAAGGATGAAGAACTAATCAAGGAGTATCTGAGGGAGACTATATGTTGGAGACCCTAATGTTTGTGTGGATGAGGATACCGAAGGGTAATAGTTGGTACTTGATTATTAGGCATTTTGTGACAGATAAGTCGATGCAAGAATGTCCTTAATTTGTACTTGCATATGCTTTTAGGATAAATAATTCTAAATAAAAAGACTGATGGACTTATGATAACCTTCAGAGGTGGAATGAATAAGATATAACTGTGGAAGACACAAAAAATGAAATTCCATGCTGAATGTTGCAATTATATTCCTTGCTCTACTTATCCTTTTTCATTTTGTTATTATTNACGAAGGGTAATAGTTGGTACTTGATTATTAGGCATTTTGTGACAGATAAGTCGATGCAAGAATGTCCTTAATTTGTGCTTGCATATGCTTTTAGGATAAATAATTCTAAATAAAAAGACTGATGGACTTATGATAACCTTCAGAGGTGGAATGAATAAGATATAACTGTGGAAGACACAAAAAATGAAATTCCATGCTGAATGTTGCAATTATATTCCTTGCTCTACTTATCCTTTTTCATTTTGTTATTATTTTTTCTTTTTTTTTTTT